CCCTCAAAAATGTTTTGACCCCTAAAACTCCATAAAATCTCAAAATTAAACTCTAATACAATATAGTTAACCCAAACATAAATGATATAATGAATAAATAATTTTGAAAAAATGACATTTTTGCAAAGATTTTGAAAATGTGGCATTTTTGCAAAGATTTTGAAAATGTGGCATTTTTGAAAAGTGACATTTCTCAAAAATTTTCATTATTTTCTCCATTGAAAAAATTTACTTAAAAGCTTTGATTTTGAAAATTGTTGAAAATTTGGTTAATAATTTTGTTGAACAAAAAGAAAAGAATTTGAGTTTTATAACTAATATTTTGTTAGCTATTTTTTAGTTATTTATTTGTCTTTTTTTCTATGTGACAATAATATTTATAGATGATTTTATTTTTATGAATTTAAACATCTCATTTTTTTAGTTGTTTCGCGTATTCGTCAATGTTGGCACGGCTCTAAATGGCGAGCACACATCCTTCTCCCATAACTTAGGTTTATAATCTTGGTTATATTTCACTTTAGTTTTACTTTTATGATCAACTTTGTTGGTCTTTTCACTTTAAAGATTATTGTTTTCTTGTATTAATTTCATTTGTATTAAGATCTTCTCCTCGAGACATGCTTTACATCAATGTGGGATGACACTTTGATATAGTTTCGATATTTTGGCTAATTTGTAGATTCTAAGACATAGATACTATAGATATGGCAGAGCTCTCGAATAAGATCTAAAAAGACTTATGACATGTCAGAGCTTATATAACAGCATCGGCTAACACAATTTTTAACAAAAACGTTGATTAAAAAATTAACTGATAGCTCTTATATAACTTCAATATATTTTCGATTGATTCGTTAGGCGCTAGGCCAACCCGAACACCTAACGAAATGAAATTTTAAACATTGATTTATTCATGTGTAAATGAATAATTTCTAATTAGATTCAGCCACATGTAAAAAAATTTATCTATTTAAAAATAATTATATATTTACATGTAAAATAATAAAAAATAGAAATTTTTTTAAAAATGTCACTTTTAAAATATGCCACATTTTCAAAATCTTTGCAAAATTGCCACTTTTTCAAAATTATTTTTATTATATTATTTATGTTTGAGTTAATTATGTTGTATTAGAGTTTAGTTTTGAGAGTTTATGGAGTTTTAGGGGTCAAAACATTTTTTGAAAGTTTTTAATTTAAGATTTAGGCTTTCAAAATCCATAACTAGTGTCCATTTTTACACCTCTAAATGGCATTCTTGCAAATGTACACTCCAAAAGTGGTATTTTTGCAATTGCCCCAAAAAAGTAAACCAAATTTAATTAGAATTTCAAAAATTTAATTATTTCAAAATATGTGATATAATTTAATTA